CCCCCCCCCCGTGCATATGTCTGTGTTTCAGTATTTTTCTTTTTCTTTCATGTTTGTTCATTAAGGTTTTATTCTGGAGGGGGCTCGTCCAGCAAATTATTTTTTTTGTGCCTCTGAAGCTTTACCATCACATTCAGACCAGATCTGAGGAAACTTTTCATTAAATGTGGTGCTTTTTTTGTTGTTGTTGTTTTTGTTTAAGATGATGGACACTAACTTTAGTGCAATCCCCTGAGTGTCCATTTGAATGGCTTACATGCTTTGCACTGTTAAATCTTTGGCTTTAATATAATTTTTTTTCCACAAATGTGTAAATTATTGTTGGATTTTTTTTTCTTTTAGCTATAAGCAGCTGACAATGGCTCCCACACCAGTATTTCAGTGCACACGTGCACAGAATGTTTTTATCATTTAGTTTTACTATTTTTAAAGAATGAATGTGAATTTCAGATGAAGAAATGCAGACTTTGGGGTTCTCCTTTTATTCTCAGTGATAAACGACTTTTTTGAAACCTGAGAGAGGAAAAGCAATTTTTTAATGTTTGCTGTGCATGGTTTGTATGTGCCAAAAAAGGGGTGTCATTAGTGTTCTGGTCAGTTTCTCATCAGAATAAGTACAAATAAGGATGAAAAAAAGATTTTTTTTTAAATTGGGTCATCAAATTGCCAAGACATTATGCAGTGTTTTTGTGTTACAACCAATTTCTGTAGGACTCATTGCTTTTTTGTATGGATTCACAAGTTTACTATGAGTTTTTACAAATGATTTTCAGGACATCAGTAACAACCTGAGCAACTGGACTACTAGAATGAGCGTTTTCATTTTGCTGGAATCAGTGAACATGAATTCAGCAATAATCAGTTTCCTGGAACTAGTTGACAAAGCAACTGAAAATGGTCTTTTTGTTTGTTTGTGTAATGCAGATTTCCATGTAAGGAACACATGCCAATTAAAGTCTATTTCTGAATGCATTTCAACTGGACGCAAGACTTATTTTTGAAGAGTTTAACATGTTTGTGTTTTTTGTAAGGCGTCTGCTTTTACTGCAGGGATTGTACATCTTGTGCTTAAAGCTACAAGGCTCTTTGGCAACTTTTCAACTCAACTTACTGGTAATTTCCCAACAGTGATGCAAGCGCAACAAATATTTTACTCATGCTAAAGTTGTTACTGAGTTAATCTGCTGAACCTACAAGCTGTGGAACCACCAGAGACATGGAGGAAGGCCGAATCTTTGGATCTGGAAACAGGAAAAACATGGACTCTCATYGTTTTAATGAGATAACAATTTGGGCAAGTTATGGTTTAAATCAAGACATTACATCACTTTATGTAAATTTTGCTTGTTCATCCATCCCATCAGAGATTTGACTCCATATGTTCCATACAGTTCCTCCTGTAACATTGTGTCTTTTACAATGCCGAAACGTTCCGAGCCAATATAGCCTGACTTTGCAGATGAGGACAGACTCTCCAGTGGGTTGTCAGGCGGCTATAAAAAGATTTAGAGCTAGGTGAAAACTAGCTATGGCTGTGAAAAATGTGCCCTRACTTGGCTGAAGAATGTCAAAGATGGTTAAGGTTAACTTGGGATGTGAAGAGGCATGGTGGACCTGCTGAAACACAGAGGAAAGAGGGAGTCCATGTGTGATGACCCCGGTGATGCAATTATTGCAGCCTCCACATAAGATGATGCAGGGAGCTGCTCATTATCAGCAGGTACAGATAAACACGTCAGCTCATTCATATATATAT